CATCAGCGGTGATCAGGTAGATGGACACAGGAACAGGTCATTTTCTCACGTTTCTCCCTTACCTGCAGGCAGACAGGCTGAGAGAACGCATGCGCAGTAACAGCGTGGTGCCGTGGTAGTGCTGGGACCGTCCGCCGCCTGGTGCATCCTGGGAGTTGTAGTCTTCTGAGTGCAGGGGGTGAGGAGCTTCTCAAGTGAAGTTGTTGTGGCGCTGAGGGGGGTCGGTCTCTGTTTTAGTAGTAAGGTTAGTAGGACGTGGCTGAGCGGGTGTGACCGGAGCAGTGTGGTGTAGACATGCTATTATCATTATGGCTGTACTGTGGGCTATTAATATGTCATCAGTCCCCTGTCAGCGTCAGCTGTAGGTAATGCCATCCGCACGCATACAGCCGCGTTCACATGTGCGTTATTAGGAGAGCGCGCAGCCAGTTAGACGCCTTTATATCCGTCGTGTTGAGATGCGTTTTTATGCCCGTCATGATTGTGTTTAGACTCATTTACGTGGAGATGCAGGCATACATTCGGTAGCACAGAATCTGCGTCAGTGGACACATCTCTGATCTAAATGACCTAACTCATTTTAAAGCAGAGCTCAGGGGCAGACTGACCATTTGGAAACTCAGGCACGGCCCGAGGGCCCGGGGTCGGTAGGGGGCCCCATGAGATGCCCCTGGTACCTTTTTCATAGGCTTTTTTGAGTTTGGGCAAGGACACAGGAGCCCCATGATCCCCTATTGCCCGGGGGCCCCATGAGTTGTCAGTCCGCCCCTGGCAGAGCTCCGCCCAAAAAGGAAAAGTTCCGCTTTAGGGCTTTTGTCTCCTGCTCCCCATTAAGAATTGGCATCTTTGGGGAGCAGAAGAGGGGGGGCAGGTACCCGCTCCCACTTCCGCTGCAATCGCCTAGGCGATTTGAAGCAGAAGTTGTCCTCCTCCCCTCCCTCCCCATAGTCTTGTTGGACATGTAACAGGCCCCCGAAGACTATGGAACCATTCACAAAGTGCAGCACTTTTCACGCATGCGCAGTGGGCACCCGGCTGTGAAGCCACAAACTGTCACAGCCGGGTGCACACACTGAAGATGACGGCGCCAGGAAGAGGAGATGACCGGTGTAACCAGCGGTGGTGAGGACACTGCTGGACCGAGGGACAGGTAAGTGTATTTTAAGAGTCGGCAGCTACAGTTTTTGTAGGTGCTGATTTTTATTTTTTTTCCAGGCGGAACTCCGCTTTAATTATGCTGCTTTAAAGATACCTGTGGAGCTGGACCCTGCACACATCTTTACGCAGCTTTTTTTTTCCATCCCCTGTGAATTGGCAGTAAACTTTAACCACTTGCCCTCCAGAGCATTTACCCCCCCCCCCCCCCCCCCCCGACCAGGCCATTTCTTGCGCTACGGCGATGCATTACTTTAACTGACAATTGTGCGGTCATGCAACACTGTACATGATATTTGCATTCTTTTTTTTTTCCCACGAATAGAGCTTTCTTTCAATGGTATTTGATCACCTGTGTGGTTTTTATTTTTTGCGCTATAAACAAAAAAGACCAACAGTTTTGAGAAAAAAAACTATTTTGACATTTTGCTTTTAGACCAGTCCAGTGAAACATTAAAAAAATCAAATTTCGGCCAAAATGTATTCTGCGACATGTCTGTTAAAAAAAACCCCAATACATGTAAATTAATTGGTTTCCGTGAAAGTTAAACCGTTTACAAATGGCAGTATAGATACTGGAAATTTTTTTTACTAGTAATGGCGACAATCAGCGACTTATAGCGGGACGGTGGCGGGCATTCTGAGACTGGGGGAGGAACTGACTAACTGCCACTGACATTTCCAGTGACACCAGTACAGTGATCAGTGCTAATAAAAAGCACTGACACTGTACTAATGGCACTGGGCAGAAAGGGGTTAACACTTGGGGCGATCAAAGGGTTAACTGTGTGCTGTTTCACCATGGGGGCTATGTGTGTATTTCACTGTAAGCACACTGCTTTGTACAAAGCAGAGTGTAGGAGCTTACGGGGGAGAGATTTGTGTTGTTTACACACAGGTCTTTCCCCCGTCGGAGATACTCGGCAATCACTGGGTGCCAGCGAGTAATCCAGGTGATTAACAGCCAAAGCCGCGAATGGTGGAGCTGGTAGTGTGCGTGCGTGCCCCCCACCCAGAACTGCAAAATCACGTGATTTTGCTGCCCTGTAGCAGTATTTCTGATATAGGGCGGCATGGAACCGGTTAACTGAGAGCTGCCACATATGTGCCTACAACCAGCGTCCCTTGTTTGTTAGGAGTGTGCTCACTCAGCGCCCCCAGCACAGTAAATGCATCGCCACCAGTACCGCACAGTTTCCAATCAGGAGCTGAAATGGCAGACTCTTCCATCGTGATCATTGTAACCGCCAATCACAGTGATCACACAGCTGGGGAGCCTCCAGCTTTACAGACTTATAAAGGGCCTTCTCCTGGTGGCTGGAAATGGTTAAACTGGTAGCCAATCGGTTGCATTGCATGGAAAGGAGCAAGCTGATAGGTGTAGAGAGCAGAGTGAATGGTGGGATGACTTCATCAGTCTCCTGCTGCTTCTTTACTATACAATCAGCAGGCTGGGGTGAAGAGAGGAAACCACCGTATCCCTACCACGATTATAAATGGTGGTATTATTGGCCGAACACTGCCCTGCAAATCTTAAGACTGGGTTAACAGAGGTACTTTACCTTTGTAAATAAAACAGCTGAGTCAGGGTCTGTGTTGGTGGACATTTGGTCTTTTCAAATTAGGTTTATAGTAATACAGATTTGATATAAAGCAGATCAGACGGAGGGATTGCAGGTCGGTGAATTATGAATTATGTCAGAAAAGTCTCAGATGGATATCAGCAACAGGAACCCAAAGCTCATCAACACTGGATCTAACATGTAGTTCATCTGTGTATGTAGATGTTTGACTGGAGTTCACCTTTAACATTCGATAACTGAAGTGGTTTCTTCCATCTGGGAATAAAGAAAACTGGTGCCCTCATCTCCACTCTAGCAGCAATGAGGTGTCCAGGATTTCCTCACAGGCCGCCAACTTCTTCAGCTGGTCTTTTTGTAGGTTCCAATCTTTGTCCATTTTGAATGGCCGGGCCCATACATGAGTTCATTCATCTTATCTAATGCCAAAATTGTACAATGAGCTGGACGCACACATAGTCCCAATTTATGATCATACAAGAGTTTCAGTATATCTAAAGTCAAATCTTATATAGAGTAGGGCACGTTACACACTCAATCATCGCTTCTCAGCCTTTTGGAGAAGATCATTTGTAGTATCTGTTCTTACCAGTTTTTGGGAGGAAGAAAGCTGGAGCCTTTTGTTGTGTGGGGGGGCGCCAGTTAGTATTTTCCCAATGTAACGGGGTGGGCACTGTGGGAGGGATCCTTTTCCTTCTGGGCTGAATGCAGGTGCAGTTAGAAATCTCCCTAAGTGCTAATGCCTTTCTGATAGGGTAGCATTTATCTGGCCAGGGGCTAGGAGACACAAGGAGTTCCCGGGGATGTACTCCCTGGAGGGCGCATCCCAGGGTTTCTGGAAAAAGGATACTTTGAAAATGGTACACCATTGTGGTTCTTTCACTGACACTAGAACAGGTCACTAATTGCTTTTCTTGCACACATCTCATGGCCAGGCCTTCTGGCTAGTCTAGGGAAAACATTTTTTAGGAAGGCCTGCCTTGTCATTGTACTTGGCACTTTTTTATTTTTCACTATTTATTCACTGCCAATTGCACTGCATGTGCATTTTTCTTTGAATTATTTATGCACAGAGAAGGGAGGTGCAGGTTATTGGGGCCTCTCCTGATGTTTGATGGAGGGTCTGGCCTTTGGGTCTTTTATGTCTCCTCTCCCAGAGAATTCTCTCTATGGATGAGCTGCTCACCAAGTGCTTGGTGGGCTAGCTTCAGCTGGTCCCTAAGGAGTGGGGTCCAAGTGGCTTTGGCCTAGGTAAACCATAGAGTACCTTGCCCGTCAGGAGCATTACACCACAGGGATTTCAGGGTTAGAGGCCCTTCCTCTTTTGGGGGTTTGGCCATTTCCATACCCTATGTGCATTTTTTTTGTGTGCTGTGATTTTGCGGCTCACTTTTTTTTTTTCTCACAGGGGATTCGACAAGCACCGCACCGTGAAACTCTGTTTCTCCTGCATTAGTAGAGTGTATGTCCTTGGAGTTGCCCTAAAAGTCTTGCGTGGGAGGGTATGTCAAATTCTCTCCCTCCCATGGGGTCTCCCGTTGAGGGAGTCCAATCTAGTACTTGGCTGAACCTTGCTTCAACAGCTCCTCTGAAAAATGGGACCTGCCTGGTTTCAGTCAGGTGGACCAGGATTACCCTGTCCCTATCAGAAATCTTAAACCCCAGGGAATTGGGGTCTCTTCTCTTTAGAGATGGACCATGTGTACACCCTGTGCACTTCTTTGTGCGCTCACTTTTTTATTTTCCTGGGTGTTAGTTTCAAGTGTGCACACTGCATGGTGGAGCTAAAAAAAACAAATGTCCAGGGTCAGTGTTTTTGCTGAGTTTTTGCCACAGCTTATAGGCCAATTTGTATGCGCCTATAGCACTATGTTACCTCTTCCAGAGGCTGCATTTAACTGTTTTTGAATGCAGAATTCATATGGTACCACATACCTGTATGTACAATTTTAAACAACTTCCACCCACTGTATTGGGAAATGACAGACGGGTGTGGGAGGGCTCTTGCTCTGGGAGGATGTCATATAATGTCCTCCCACTCTAGCCGCGCATATGTGTCCCAGCGATCAGTGGTGCGCTGTGCCCATTGGACACCGGATCACTGATCGTGGTAAAGAGCCAATGACGTAGACTTTTTACCAAGTGATCAGCTGTGTCCTATCACAGCTGATCACATGTAAACCGGAAATGTTGGTTGTCGGCAATACTCTCCTCATGCGCTGTCAGCGTGAGGAGAACCAATAAGTGGCAATCCTCAGAGGGGACATCTACACTGATAATCAGGGCATTGATCGACAGTGCCCTGATTATCAGTGCAGCCCTATCAGTGCTGCCTTTCAGTGCCCATCTGTGATGCCTCTCAGTGTCCATCAGTGAAACCTGTCATTGCCCATCACTGCTGCCTATAGTGCCTCCTCATCAGTGCAGTCTATTAGTACCAATCAGTGCTACCTATCATTGCCACTTTTCAAGTGCCCATCATTGCCACCTATTAGTACCACATATCAGTGATGCCTACCAATGCCACCTATCAGTGCAGTATCATAAGCGCACATCAGTGAAGGAGAAAAATTACTTATTTACAAAATGTTATCACTTTTTTTCATCTAACTTTTTATTTACTTTTTTCATTTAGCAAAAAATAAAAAAATATAAACCCAGTGGTGATTAAATACCACCAAAAGAAAGCTCTATCTTTCCAAAAAAAAAAATTATAAACATTTTGTTTGAGTACAGTGTTGCATGACCGCACAATAGTCATTCAAAGTGTGACAGCACTGAAAGCTGAAAATTGACCTGGGCAGGAGGGGGGTTAAGGTGCCCAGTAGGCAAGTTGTTAAAATACAGATACATTTGTCCCATACTGTCTGAAGAAGCAGATGGGTGTCTGTGAAACGTGTAACATATTGCTGCTGTCTCACTATCAACTATTGGTGCACTCTGCAAGATGAAGCATGCTCGCTCATGCAATGAATGTGTATATATTTACACAGGTATATATATGTTAGTTGATGGTAAAGGGCATATGTCACTATTGGTGTTATTCTGTAAAACACGAGACCATTATCTATTTTAAGAAATTATGGTTTTATTAAAAATTGTATTTTATATATTTTTTTTTTTTCATGTATACCTTTTTAGATGTAGATCTGTTGACCCCATGGAAATCCCCTTTTTGTTTGTTTTGTTGGCTATTCATGTAACTGGAATGTTGTGTCATGAGTTTTTGATTTAAGGATCAGTTGTTTCATTAGACCAGAATTTATAAACATTTTTCCTGTATATCACAATGGGTAGGTTTCTAAAAATTGTAATTTTAGCTATATATTGTGCGTTTAAAAAAGTGGAAGCTGCATGTAATAGAAAATTGTCCTTCATTCTTCTCTAAAAAAAAAAAACAGATCTGGTTAGATTCCCCTCTACATAGTTCTGATTTGTAGGGAAGTTGCATAATGACATTAATTTTTTCATATTTATGTGCTATTACTATAATTGCCCATTCAACAATTTTCTATTCTATAAACCATCTGAATGTGCTAACCTTGAAATCTCTGGGTTTTGTGACAATTACAAGAGCTTGGCAATATGCCTCACACTGCTTTTTTAACAAGCCATTTAATTTATGCATATACTCATTAACAAACAAGTCACGTAGTTGTGCATTAAGACCTTTAAAAATTCAAAGCTAATCCACCAGAACATAAATACGTTATTTTCAGGAATTGTCTGTATTCACAAAAAAAAAATGCTTACTCTAAGCTTCCAATTATTGTAATTCTAAATATGAAATATAAGAGCATGTTACTGTGTCTCGCATTTAAGAATTAACTTAATGGATGGTGCCTATTGACAAAAAGTAATCAATCAGTTATTTTTTTTTTTTTTAAGGTAAGAAAATAAATGGAAGAGGCTAACTGAATGTGACTTATATAGACGCTTTTAGTACATGGGTGTTTGGAAGGCTGTTCTGAACCCTACCAAGCGCACTACAAGCTACAGGAGGGAATTATTAAACTGAGATACAAAGGGGTTTATTTACTAAAGCTGGAGAGTCCAAAATCAGACTCCCTTCTGCATAGAAACCAATCAGCTTCCAGGTTTCATTGCCAAAGCTTCATTGAACAAGCTGAGGTTAGAAGCTGATTGGTTTCTATGCAGAAGGGAGTCTGATTTTGGACTCTCCAGCTTTAGTAAATAAACCCCAAAGGGTCAGTTCAGATATGAGTGATGGCTAGGAAAGATGGTACCGTTTGCTGGACAAATGTTTATATGACTTTTAGGCTGTGGCTGCCTATAAATTGTAATGCTTGAGTGTTTTAACCAAGGGACTCACACTCCCCAAAAAACAATGGCAAAGCAGCTTGAATGAAGCCTAAGAAGCAAGATTGAGGTTGACCATTTGGACAGTGTTTTTGACAACTTTTTAACAGTCAATATTTTTTTTCTTCTATAAACCAAAAAATTGTTGCGCTGTGTACGTGTAATCAGGGACGGACTGACCATTTGGAAACTCGGGCATCGCCCGAGGGCCCGGGGTCAGTAGGGGGCCCCATGAGATGCCCCTGATACCTTTTTCATAGGCTCTTTTGAGTTTGGGCAAGGACACGGGCCCCATGATCCCCTATTGCCCGGGGGCCCCATGAGTTGTCAGTCTGTCCCTGCATGTAATATACAGTATCATGAATCCACCACCAAACAGTGTAAGGCCTCATGCACACGGGGCATTTTGCAAACTTTTATTTATTTATTTCAGGTACTTATATATAGCGGTGTCAATTTATGCAGTGCTTTACATACTGTATATATCGTACATTCATATCAGTCCCTAACCCTCAAGGGCGTACAATCTAAAGTCCCTAATTCACATATACACATACTAGGGCCAATTAACCTACCAGCATGTCTTTGAAATGTGAGAGGAAACCGGAGTACCCAAAGGAAACCCACGCAAGCACAGGGAGAACATGTAAACTCCATGCAGGAGGTGCCATGGTCGGGAATCGAACCCATGACCCATTTACTGCAAGGCAGATGTGCTAACCACTAAGCCACTGTGCTGCCCCATTATTTAGAAGCCGTTCTTCCAGGCAGCAGTGTTTTGGCAGAAAAAAAAACGCCTGGCGCTTGTAAAAGTGTCCAACACTTTTGCAAGTATTTAGGTGTGTTTAAGGTGCCAAGCACTTGGATGTTAATTCATTTCATTGGCCAGAATAATAACTTATTTTGGCCATCGGAATGAATTCACGCTCAAGCACCAAAAGGGCCTAGCGTTAACATGTGTGTTTCGACGCGTTTACAAGTGTTTTTTTTTTTCCTGACAAAATGCAGCTGCTCCTGGACACGCAGGCAGAGGGGGATTTTTTTTTCTGCCTCTAAAAGTCCTTGCCATTAAACGCTGCTAAAAGCCTATGTGTGCATGGACACCGGCTGACATACAGGTAAGTTTAGAGGCAGAAAAAAAAAACCCGCCAGATGCCCCTAGAAGCAGCTGCAAAAACTTCCAGTTTGCATGAGGCCTAAATAATAAATTCCACTCTGTGTTGTGAATGAAATTTGTGACAACTCTTGAAATCTGAGAACCAAGATTAATATCTGCTGCTTATCCAGATAAGACCACCACGCTCAATATCAGGTCCACTCGATATAGCTGCATGTAAGTTTCTCAGATGTGCCTTTGTTTTGATACAATGTGAGTAACTTTTTTGCTATTTAGTAAATGTAGCTTTTTTTACACCGTGAAGCTTTGTTTTTGCTTTAAATGCATGACATTGGCTGAGCGAGATTGAATGCTATATCTGGACCTGTGGTATATTTGGTTCCGAGTCGCTGTATGTGGATCTTTGAGAAATCCTCTGATATAATTTGAGCGTGGTAGACCTCTTATCATATGGGGTCTTAGCAGATATTAATCTTGGTGGTGGATTTCACGAGTTGTCACAAAAGATTTTGCGTTTCATTCCTAGCATGGAGTGGACTTTATATTTTACACTGTTGGGTGGCAGATTCATTATATTTTTAAAGACATAGCGCAGCAATTTTTGGTTTATCATTTATGGTGCATTTGTATCTGGATGTTTTTGTCTACTGTTGTACAAATTATCTGTTTTGATATTTATATTTTATTTTGCACTAAGTACAGTTTTTCACATTTGATAATTTTGTTTTTTTGCTTTTTTTTGACTATAGGTCGCTTCTTGTTTCGTATTGTAGCAACAATGGGCATCAAAGGACTTCAGAGCTTTGTACAGAATTCCTGTCCCAACGCCTGCAGTATGGTCAACCTAAAGTCAATGGCTAACAGGCACAAATCTTCTCATCCAGAATTGGCTCCTACCATTGTTGTGGATGCGATGGGCTGTTTGCGCACATGGTACACACCAAATGATTGGATACATGGAGGCCAGTGGAAGGAATATCTTTCCAGCTTAGAACGCTTTATTGCAACCTTCGAGGAGGCTGGTATTAAGCTTGTATTTGTCTTTGATGGTGTGATAGAGCAAAAGAAGAGGGCAGAATGGACTAAGCGACGGCTGCGGGACAATATTGAAATAGAGAAAATCTTCAATTTTTTAAAAGTTAACAAGCAGCAGCCTGGCAGGAATATGTTTTTTATTCCTTCTGGAATAGCTACTTTTACACGATTTGCTTTGAAGGCGTTAAACCAGCATATCATCTGCACACAGGTTGAAGGTGATTATGAAGCAGCTGCGTATGCTCTGCAACACAACTGTCTCGGAATTTTAGGGGAGGATAGTGACTATATAATCTTTAACACTGTCCCATATTTTTCCATCAACAAACTTCGCTTAGACAATCTTGTCACACTGATGTATTCAAGGGAAGACTTGTGTGAGGAGCTTGGAATCCGTATTTCAGATCTACCTCTTCTGGCATGTCTGCTTGGCAATGACATAGTTCCAGAGAACTCTGTGGATGGTTTGCAGAAGAAATGCGCAGCCTCCTATCACTGCCAGACTAAAGAAGGTAATAGGAGGGCAGCCGTTATTAGGGCTGTTGCTGCTTTTATTGCAAGTTTACAGCACCGTCACATAGTTTTGAAGAGGTACGGAAAATGTTACCACCGAGATTTAATATGGACCTGCTGCAGAAAGGAATAGAATCTTATATTCTGCCAGAGCAAACATCTCCTTGGGTTTTCCAGGTGTCATACCTTCGTGACAATGCAAACAAACCAGAAACAACTGTGTGCCTGGATCAGGAAATTGTTCAGGTACTTGGTTATAATATATAAAATGTATTTAAACTCAAGAACTCAAATTTAAAGCGGTTGTAAAGGCTCAAGGTTTTTTACCTTCCTCTATACATAAAGGTGAAAAACCTTCTGTGTGCAGCAGTGCCTCCAGCCCCCTCAATACTTACCTGAGCCCCATCGTGATCCAGCGATGAGCGCATAGCCTCAGCTGTTGCTGCTCTCTGCCGCCTCATTAGCTGAGACAGCAAGCAGAAGCCA